CCCCGCGCGCCCCCCCCCGCCGCTGGCTCTACGCTCCAGATAAAATGGCTTGGCAGGCCGCATGGCAGCCCACAGGCTGTATGTTGGACAAGCCTGATATATACAGCTAACTCTAACAAGAGAAGAATACAAATCTCTAAAACTCTTGGTTCAGAGGTGATCCCTTTTATTAGACCACTAGAAAATAGAAAAAAATATATCTTTCTTTGCAAGCTTTTGGGTGCACACACCCTTCTTCAGGCTGAGGGTTGTTAACTCTAACAAACATTCTCTGATCGTTCATTTTTAAAATCCTTTGTTTTTCTGCGTCCCCCCACCCTTCCCCTGAAAACCAATTCACACCAGTTCTTCAGTGATCCAGGAAGATCTCGATTAGCTAAAATTTATACCCTGAAATTCCAGCTTCTGAGAATGAAGATTTTCTAATCCTTTTTTTTCACTGGCCTGAAATATCTCCTTGTCACTTGCTTTTCTTACTCATCACTAAATTCCTGGTTACAATAATAAAGCTGCTTCTTTCTCTCTCTCCCCTATCTACGAGGAATTCGGCTACAAAAATATATGGTAATACAGGCTTACAGTTACAATACATGTTCTATAGAAATACACAGCTCGGTACTTACTGTTCACGAATTTACATATTGAAACACTAATATGAATCTTTGGTTGTTGACTAGTAGCTCATTTAATAATTGCTTCTTAGGCCTAGGCTTTTCTTTTGCTCTTTTTAAATTGGCAAATTTGCCATTTGCTTACAGTGGAATGTTGCTTGATTTAACAACCTGTTGACATGACATTTGTAATGCTTATGAGATTTGTAGGGCGGCTACCCAGAGCTTCTAGGTGTCTGGCCTTTTGCTTAGCTATATTCCCATAGCCTCACTTAGGCCACCCAAAACTGCAAGGGTTGGCAACAGGCTGTTAAGATGTCTATCTAGCACAATTGCTTGCATAACAATAACAGAGGAGACCTTGACTGAGTTTTTAACATATAAGTATAGGGGGAAAATTGCACAAGTTTTCTCCAGTTTTCCAACCAACTATGCAACTCTTGGAAATTTTCAAAACTCTAAATGTTTATGATTTGAGAAATCAAAAAGAAAAGAAAGAAGCAGCAGCAAAATGGCAACATTTTTAGAGAGGAAAGAATTGAAAATAAAATTGGAAATGTTCCTTCAGAATTTTTCTTGTCTTGTTTTTGAGAGCTAGTAATGAAAAAGCTAATAGCAGTAGTGTAGACTTAGCATGAGAGAAAAAAAGATCCTATAGTATATAACACTTAGCTATCTTTTGCACTCAGCCATTTAGCTGGAAAACCATACCAACATTATAACTATTATTTTTTGTTTCTGTTTTATAGCCAAAAATTGCAGAGGAGACTTTAACATATGCAGAACTTGAGCTGATCAAGCCCCTGCAGGAAGCCAAAGGCATCCCCACTACAACAGTCTACGCACAGATCCTCTTTGAGGAGAATAAGTTGTAAAAGCCTGTGTCTGTAAATATATTCTTTGTCTGTTTTCTATGTAATTCTTGCTGTGCTGTTTATTTATAAAAATCTTACAAATGTCCTTATTTTTTTACTTCCATTCATGTACTTCTGTACTTTTATGAGACTTTTTCTAAACCTGTAGTTAAAAGGAATCACAGTGATGGCAAATGATAAACAACAGCCCTTTCAAAAGCTCTTGGTGCCTTGGTTTCTATAGACTAATGTACTACCTGGGCCATTTTGAATGCTAAGTGCAAAAGAGACCAGTGGAAACCTCATTTCCACACAAGTCAATTCTATACCTAGTGCAAGAGTAGAGCTGGTCAAGGATTTGCCAACAGTTTTCAATGAGAAATTCCAGTTCAGCAGTACTGGGACTTTTCCCAGGAAAGCATCAAGCTCAATGAATATCTTTTCAGCTTGAGAAAGCTTTAACATTTTTGAGAAAAATATAATGTTTTGATTTAAACCCCTATGTTGCTCTGGGGTGGGGATTTGGGGAAGGGAAAGGGGGAGGGAGGCATTTTTTATGATTTGGCTTTCTGTCCCAGTTTGGAATGGGAAAAATTCTTAATAGCTCCATTTTGTTTGCAAAATGGAAGAACAGTTTTATGCCCAGCTCCAGGCTTCTCTCTTCCCTCAACCCTGTATAAACCTCCTGCATGGCACCTGAGTACCAAAGTGTCCAAGGAGGGGGGAAGCTTTAAGAGCCCCTCTCCTGCAGTTCTCTGTAACAGCACATTCTTCAGCCTCTCTCCACCACCAAGTGGAGTCATTCCTTGACAAGGACCATGGCTGGGGCAGAGCTAAGAGTAGGCTCTAGAGCCTCTGTCCTGTGAGGAAGAATCTAAGTATTACATATCTCTTATTTCCACCATCGATACGTGGGCTGGTGAGGGAAGTGCACCTCCTGATGGTGTCTTTTCTTAAGGAAAGGGCTTGCTCCTTCAGCACAGAGCCATTTCTCTGAGCCTTGGCTAATTTCCACAATAGAGCCCTCCACTAAGCTGGGGACCGAACTCTTTTTGGTGCCTTAAAGGATTCTGACCTTTGAGTCATGTCTATCTTTAATTACAGAATGTGTGGAACACTAAAGCCAAGACAGGGACCTAAAATTAAGTGGTTGAGTCCATCTTTCAGAGCAGGGGACCTGAGTTTTCAAATGTGCTGAGCCCTCAACAGGTCCCAAGGTAAGGTCTAAGCTTGTGAAGAAGAAATACTCAACACGTCCTCCTTCCATTCTAATGCATACCCAGCCCCACTTTGTTCTCAACCCTGCAGCTCAAACTTTCAGGATCCAGAACCCTTTCTGCTCTCACTAGAACACCCAAAACATGCCTAATATCTCCTAGGCACTGAAAATCCATCTACAGCACTGACACTTTTCAACCCAATTCAGCTGCCTGATTTCCATCCCATATGCCAGTATTTCCCAACCTTTTCCAGCCCAAGGCACACTTACATTAATAAAAATTTTCCGCAGCACACCCGTTAAGGCATTTCCCATCCTCATACCTATCGTAGCTTATTGCCATGGCAAAGTTCTGCGGCAAACCTGTTCATTTCTGACAGCACACTTTTGTGCTGCGGCACACTGGTTGGGAAACATTGCCATATGCACATAGCTGTTGCTGAACCTGGAAAAGCAAGTGCAGAGGCCATGGGCTGGGACTCCATAGGATGCAACATCTGTATAGTTGCTCAATGGCAGCCAACATGACTGCTCCTAGTTCTGCATCCTTCTTCTTCTACAATCTGAGCATGAAGCCATGACATCCAGCAGAGCTGTGCCGGGGTGTTTGAGTGCTGTGCACAGGACAGTGGCAGTGGTTACACTGCTGGTGGTGCAGCAACATCTGGGCTGACAGCAAAGCTGCTGCATGTTTTGCAGGCATACTACTCTCCCCCACCCCAGATAGGCACCCAGGGGTGGTGGCCCACTCGTTCCCTCTTCGTTATGCTCCTGCCTTTCAGAGTGCCATATTGTCCCAGCATAAACAAGTGGCTGCACAGATCAGCAGCAAATGTCCCTAGTTTATATTCTCCTTTGTAGCCTAGAGGAAACATTTTGTATTCCTATGGATGCAATTCCACCACAGCATTAGGGTCCAGATTTGCCCAAGGTTGTGAGAAGCAGACCTGCAGGGGGTAAGTTTGGTTCTGTTCCTGTTTGATTACTTGTCTTGAGCAAGAAATGCAAGCACTGTAGCTTGGGATGCATTTACAGGCCAAAGCACAAAACCTGGGGAGAAGTACAAGCCATTTCAAGGTGACAGTTGCATATAATCCAGCGTGCAGTAGCTAATGGTTGTCAGCCTTCCGTTACTACCCAAAACTCTGAACAGTTCATATTGTTTGGACCATCCGACTCACCCTAACTGTATAAAGTATTACAACGGATTACAATTACATGTTCAAAGTAAAATGAGACATTTGCTCCTAAATCTGTCCAATGCTTTTAAAAATCATTCCCTTATATTCTTACATCACTTTCCCAGTGGATTCATTTTTGGTTAAGATTGTGATCTGCTGTCCTGTCTTCAGTCTGTTTAGGAAACCAAGGGTGTGCTCTGAGATGCAAATGAGCAGATCTTGCCAGTGGTCATCATGTACCATGTTTGGCATGTACCATTCTTGTGCCAGTCTGACTACGCCAAGTACTATTTTTTTTCTTTTTTCAAAATAACCATGCCATGAAATGCCATGAAAGATGGCTATAATAACAACCCATTACTTAAGGTTCAAATAGTGAGGCTTCCCAACACTTGAGTATTACAGTGCAGTTCTTAAACACACAATATTACTCATGCAGGACCTTTGTCTCATCCATTACATGTCTAAGCTAGCAAAAGTTTTGTATGTGAAGCGAGCACAATTTTGCCTTTTATGAGGATTCCCTGGTAACATTTTTGTACACATTTTTCCTAGGGTCTTGGGTTCTGTTGCATGTGTAAAACACCATCATGTAAACACGGCGCACAACATTCAGTCATCTGTATGTTACCAAATTATTGAAATGCCCATGTCATGAGAGAACATGTAAAAAATATCTGGTCCAATTAGTTGTTGCATATAATATTAATTCCAAAACAATAATACCAAATTTAAACTCTTCTCAGGCCAACTATTCATTCCCAAATTCACACTTATTGCTACAAATAAGTTTTGTTGCTGCAACAATTTGTTGCAGTTTTGTTGCTGGTAACAATTTAGTTGAACAGTGTTCAGGCTTGTAAGTTGTTAAGCAACTGTTTATTTCACCATTTCATTATTCATAAGATGTTTTTCTTCCTTTGAATGGCACAGCATTCTTTTCAGTATAGTTTGGTAAGCATTTCGACCAACCACCAACAATGGCTAACACCTTTTGATCAGTAATAATATTTTTTGTGCAAAAATGTAAGGATCATCTCTGGAACAGCCAGAGGTTGACTATTCTCAAAATTAAATTCATTTTTGTGCAAGATGACTCCTCCCCCCCATCAATCATCAATGAATTGGTAATTCTTTTTCTTTTAAATCATTCAAGTCACACAGTTCTGGGCATCAGGCTTATTGTTTAGAAAAATCCACTACTACATGTTTAGTCCTTACCCAATACTTTAATTATTTCTGTTGTTCATGTATTAATGTTTTGTATTTGTATATTCTTGTTTATCATTGATATTGAATTCCCTAACTTAACTGTTAATTAAGCTAAATAAATTACCTGTTCTTTTTTGGTGATAGAAGTTCAGAAAGTCTGTGTGGATTTATTACTTGATATGGAATGACCAAAAGTTATAAATTGATACTAAAATGGGCATTAAAGATAATTATTAGTGCTAATGACACGTTTTTCCATTGTGCATAGGGGGCAAGGCATCTGCCCTTAGCAACTCACACAAAAAAGAAACCCACAGTGTTTTGCTTTTTTTGGGAATGAAGACATTTTTACTCATATAGCACTATTATCATATACTAAAAAGCTCTTTATCCAGAACTAATGTCTTACAAAATAGCCACCAAAAGAAATTACAGAAGGGAAAATGAGAGGCTGGAATGTCTATAGTAACTGAGTTACCTTTTGGTGAGTACTTTGCCTATAAATTCACAAACTTTCAGAATCTTAAATTTTTGCCATCTTAAGTAAAATTCTGAATTTACTGGATTACTACATTTTTATTTCTAATGTGTTATAATGGTAATATAAACTCAAAACGACCTCAGGACAGCCGGACTTCAATACACATGTCTGCATTGATGGAAATAAGGAGTAGACATTCTTCGTAAAGCCCAACACTGGTATAATTTGAATCCAGACTAGAATTAGTACAGGAAAATGAGGGGGTTGAAGCACAATGCTCTAAATTACACCAATCTAGGTGTGTCTATATGCAGCTTAGCTAGGGGCAGCTGCTTGCTGAGGAAAACAGGCAATTATTGGCTTCCTCACCCCCTAGTGGCAAAATGCTGTAAAAGGCTAGGGACAGACATTCCAAAAGCTGGATAGGTTTGTAGGTTTGTCTAACCTGGCTAGGCTGAACCAATTTGTAACTGCACAGACATACAAGCACATGTCTGCTGTTGCTCAGACCAGGAACCGGGGGCACTAGAGTGCAGCCTCAGCTGCAGGGAAGCTGTGCTGCAGGGGGACATGGCCAGTCCAGGCCATTCCGGGTTTCATTCCCCCATTTGTATCCTACTGGCAAGGACCCGAGCCAAGATACTTTCCTCTGAGATCTGTTTTCCTCAAGCTAGGACTCCAAGTGTGACCTTTCCTGCAGGTATACTCACAATTCTGCTCATTACAGATGGAGTCAGGAGGCAGAAAGATATTCAATGCTCTGCTTTTCTCCATCTCTTTGCCCAGAAATTGGTGGAATAAGAATGTTAAAAAGTTCTCATCAATGTGGTAAGCAGATCAACATCACAACTGCACAATGAAACCAAATTGCAGGAGAGCAAAAGAACATGAACTCTCTTTATCCTCTTTGTGCACTACTCCAGGGGAAGATCCTATTCTAAAAGAGAACAACCATTTAAAGCTATGCCTTTGCTACTAGTAAAACTGTCCTTAAGGCTACCTTCATGTCCATTCCCCTTAGCAGTATAGCGATGGGGGAGAGGGGGTGGGGGCGGCATGGCCCCCAGGTGC